TTCACCTTGCATCTAGGTAAACCCAAAGAAGCTCCTTTCCCACTCCAAGGGGGAAGCAAGGAAGTGAATTGCTCTCTGAGTCTCGTCCTGGCCCCAGAACACCTGAGAATATCTAAGAAGAACGGGATCCCAACCATGTTCCAGGACATTAGCTTCGAACAAACCTCGGCCCACACTGGCATGGACACACCTACCTTCGGTGATTTATGGAGGAACACCTATTGTTCAGCTGACACTCCCTGTGATTGATCCCTACCCGGACTCCTGGAGGAACACCCCGGACCCTTTCCCTGTATAAACCCCTAACTCCAGCAACAATGAGACAAAGTCTCCTCTCCTTTCTGAGTCTTTTAGATACTCCGTTTGCTATACTCTATCACCTATGCTATTCAGTAAGCTCTGCCTTCATTTCCTCCTGGCTTACATTTGATTTCTATTCTGCACAAAGCCAAGGACCCTCTTGGCTGGGCCTGTGGGGCCCCCTCTGTGTCCTTGGACCCACCTGCCTATGTCACTTGTGATGGTTGCAGGCCTGGAACCCATTGGAGGGAGGCGAGAAGACACCACCTCCTAATGAAAAGGCAGCAGACCCTTGTCCCATTTCTGCAAACATCTGGGGCTCTGGACACTTGGGTCTTGTGCCCCAGCAAGACATTCTGGGCAGGCTGAAGACACCAGATTCTCCACTGGGGCTGTTGGCTTCTCTGTGACCTTGGGCAACTTTTAATTCTTCGTGCCCCCATTTCACTATCTAACATTATCTTTTAAAAAGGTAGTAAAGCCCAAAACAAGATGATAGAGGTCCCCACTGGAAGAATAAAAGGAGAGATTTAAAAACAAGCAACAGGGGTGCTGGGTGGCCCAGTCGGTTAAGCGTCTGACTTTTTAAAAAGATTTTATGTATTTATTTGACAGAGAGAGAGCACAAGCAGGGCGAGTGGCAGGCAGGAGGGAGAGGGAGAAACAGGCTCCCCGCTGAGCAGGGAGCCCTATGACCCCAGAACCCCAGGATCATGACCTGAGCCGAAGGCAGACCCTTAAATGACTGAGGCACCCAGGCGCCCCAAGCGTCCGACTCTTGATCAAGACTCAGGTCTTGATCTCAGGGTTGTGAGTTCAGACCCTGCATTAGGCTCCATGCCCAGCATGGAACCTACTTAAAAACAAAACAAACAAACAAACAAGCAACAATAATGCCATCTGTAAAAGTAAAAGAGAGAAAGGGCAAGGAGACCAGGCAGGGAACACCCTTCAGTGCCTCAGTGGGGAGAGGCTGCATGCGTTCGGGCCCCCTGGAGCAGGGATTCTGGGCTGGAGGGGTGCAGCAGGGTCTCTGGGAGCTTCTGAAAGACAAAGGTCTAGGGCCCCCTACTGAATCAGAGTGCCCCCACCCAGGAACACGCCATTTCCATTCCCTGCCCCCCACAGCAAGTCAGAGAGGCTCAGGGTATTCCAGGGGCTTCCAGACTTGAGATACCACCTCAGAGGTGAGAAGCAAATCATTATCTAAGAGGGGAGGAGGGAGGGACAGTGGCCGCAGGGAAAACACCAAGGGAACCTAGAGACCAGCTGGAGGGGAGAAAGAATGTCAACATTGAAGTGCCCTTTGTCCACCCCCGACCCAGATTTGATTCTAGAGAAGGGATACCGCCCTCCCAGTTCAGGCCAGCCAGTCCTCCAGGGACCTGCTGCTTTAGTCAATGCACGTCTGAGTCCTGGGCTGGGCTTTCCTCTGACCACCACCGAACCTGGCACATTTGCCTGTGCTCTCCACGCCTTGGCCCCAACAGCCTCATGCTGACCAGCTGCGACTCTTTATTTCAGGATTCAGATCGTGGTCCTCCTCCTCCAAGAAGCCTTCCCAGAGGCACTTTTTGGCACACCCCCACACAGCCTTGGCCTGTTAGATTCTTGCCGTACCATCAACGTGCCAGCACTGATCACCTCTCGCAATGACCGGTGTGCGGCTGGTGGCCCCGGCAGACAACGGATTGTTTTGGTCTCATTCAGTTCTTCGACCCCAACACCCAGGTCAGTGCCCAGCATAAAGCGGGCGAGCAATACAGATATTTATGCTGACCAGGAGAAAGGGAGGGAAGGAAATTTTACATCAAACAGTTGCACTAGGCAAATTTTTCAAAACTCTAGAGAAATTACAGCAATTTTTTTTTTTTTTTTGGCACTTCCTTTGTGACATGGAGAAGCCCGAGACCCAGGGAGGCAGAGATGGACAAGCACCCAGGCAGAATGGCTCCAGGGTCCTTGTTCTCCACTAGTCGGCTACGGTTGATGTAGTCCACGCAAAGGAAGAAAGATGAACACCTAGAAAAAAACTAGCTCCCTCTGAAGCCCTTGCTCTCTGTGGTTGAGGGGTCCCAGCGGCTCCAAGCATCACATGCTTTTGGACAAAGCCCGAATCCAGGTTGCTGTCCACAGGAGCCATTTGTCCCTGCTGGTAGCCCCTTGCAGTCAGGTACCAGGGACACTGCTGCAACCATCGGGGAGAGCCCAGGAGTCAGCGGTCCCCACCGGGGGCAGAGCTCCGTTGAGAGACAGTGACAGGGACAGTGCCACTCAGGGCCTCGGCGTGGAAAGGCTTTTCTCCCCCACGCCCACGTCTCTTGGCCCACTGGCTCGGAACAGCAGAGGGGTGGCCTGCACCTGCCCCACCTGGCCTGTCTGGGCCTGGGAACAATGGGGAGGATGTTCTACGAGCCCGGGGGCTTTACTCTGAGAGACGCTGCAAAGAAAGCGTCACCACTCAGGAACTGTGAGAGGTGTCACGGGAGGCGGGGAATAAAATGTATTCAGGGTCAACTGAGGTGACTAAAAATGAGCCATATGACAGGTACGTGGTGAGGTGTATCCCCAGAGCCTTCATTTGACTTTCACACCAACCCAGTGAGACGGCTACCATCCCCCTTGTCTTACCAACAGAAAACTTGGGCAGTGTTCAGCTGGAAGGAGAGGGAGCGAGAACACAACCTCAGAAATGGGGTGTGTTTGGCCAAGGCCGAGCAGAGATTGAAGGGTCTTTGAGTAAAGCATTAAAGGTACTTGCTCTCTGTTTTCTCTCTTTCTTAAGTCAGGACAAAATGAAATGGGACTTAAGTTAGATTCCAGAAGAAACTCGTGGACTATAAAGAGGCGTGAGAGAGTTCACTTCCCAGGATAGAAACCCAGAAGTTGCAGCTCCATCACGTACCCATTCTGCAGGCAGGAGACTGGACAACTTGACCTTTATCACCACGAGTGTATCACCTAACACACTCAGCGGGCTCCTCGGGCAATTTCGCTCCAGGTCCAGTCTCGAGGGAGGCTCTCGGACAATGCAAACCTGAGGTTAAATACATCCTTTGCTGCACTTAACAGGCAGATGGGGAGAGAGTTCAGATATTAAAATGAAGTTTAGAGTCTGCTGATTTAATCAATGAGGTTAAAGTGACTGCATTAAAGTTAGTACGAGTGCAGTATTGTTAGAAACCTACTGGGTCGCCGGTCGGATAACGGAGATCGTCAAAGCGGCGGTGCCCGAGGTGACTATATTTTCCAAACACGGCTACTTCGCCCCCAGAAGCCCCGTCCCTCGGGGGCTGCCCTCGCCCACTCACCAATGAACTTCTTTGTGGGAGCACCACAGGCCACAGAGCAGATCTGCTGTTGCCCCAGGCTGCTCAGCCCAACACTTGTGCTTTGGCCTGGAACAGAAGGCTCCCCGAGCAGACCGTGATCAGCCAGGGACGCAGGATAGCCTGGGCCAGAGGAGGGGGCGCCTGGAAACAGGAGCAAGATGCTCAGTCTCAAGAGAGGTTCCTGAATCTGAAGATTCTTCTCAAACCAGGTAACCCACTGGTTGGAATCAAACGCAGGGTGTACTAGTCACCATTGAACAAGTTTGTGACAATAACTTAGCAGAGTTTACCCAAACGTGGGGTTTCCTGAAGGTCAAAGGAGTCACATTACCAAAGAGGTTTAAAACCTCTGAGGCCCTCGGGAGAAACCAGGGCCCAGAAAAGTCAGAGTCCTCCCCCTCAAGGTCCTGCCAAAGGATGAGCGTGGATGCCAGCTTTTCCGACCCAGCCCCCGCCCCCGGGGGGCCAGCAGCTGTCTGCGAGAATGCAGGGGGCCCAGGAGGGCTGAGTGTCTACAACCCGCTGCGCGCTCCCCTCCATCTGATGGCCTCGCGATGCACGCGGCGCAACCCCGAAGGGGAGGCCAGGCCAGGCACCCTGCCTCGGGGTCCCGGGCTGGACGACTCACAGTTGGCTCCCCCACCCCGGGCGCCCCAGGCCACCAAAGGCCTCCTGTCGATTCCTGCGCTGCCCCCACCTCTCTCTTTGATGCCAAATTGGGGAGGGGGGGTAGACAGCAAAGAAAAATCCCGCACTAGGCATCGATTTGCCCAAAGGCAACACAAAGGCTGCGCCTGTTTCCATGGAGACACGACTGGCGAAGCGAAGGAACGAAACAGAGCGAGAAACACAAACCCGTCAGCACCTTCCGGGGCCGGCGTGATCGATGTTGGCGGGCCAGAGCCCTGACAGGAAGACGGCGGAAGGATTAAAGGTAATCAGAGGATCTAGAAGCCAGAGCCCGAGCCCTTGCAGTTGGTAGAGCAGGAGGCGAGGAGCCTCCCTATCCCCCGGGCCTACAAACTAGCTTGGCCCCACTCCTGAGAAAGCTCCTGAACAACAACAACAAAAATCCTGGACAGAAATCCAAAGTGAGCAATTATTCACTTTACAAAAGGATTCCCTGCTTGACAAAGGAATTCCCTGAAACAGCAAAATCCCATGGTGGATTGGAGCGTCTGTTTTATTGTTTACTTCTCTGAGACTGAGGACAAGGACAAGCGAGTAGCTTCCAGTTGAAAGTTTGTAAGAAAAGATGACAAGATTCCCAAGGGGAAGGGATGGAGGGGTGAGGACAAGACTCTTGGTAAAATATCTGCTGGGGCGGGGGTGCACCTGGGTGGCTCAGTGGGTAAAGCATCTGCCTTTGGCTCAGGTCATGATCCCAGGGTCCTGGGATCGAGCCCCGCAAGCCCCACGTCGGGCTCCCTGCTCAGCGGGGAGCCTCTTCTCCCTCTTTCTGCCCCTCCCCCTGCTTGTGCTCTCTCTCTCTCTCAAATAAATAAATAAAATCTTCAAAAAAATAAAATATCTGCTGGGAGAGGCACACAGGAAATTGAGACAGGGCAGCTTTAAGACAGAAAGGTGAGTTAGCTGGACATCCGTGGCCTGTCCACCATGGAAGAGCACAGGAGCCCACAGTGGGAGAGGCTGGGCAACAACAGGTCTCTGACGGGGCCCGGCAGGGTGGACCCCAAAAGCAGGGCACTCTCGAAGCTCTTAGCTGAGGGGAGACGCGGGGAGCATAGCGGTCAATCCTCATTCCCCCAGGACAACAAGAAGGCCAGAGGCCTCTGGCTCGGGTGAAGGCCAGGGGAAAATGCCAGCATTAGCCTCGGCAGATGGCCGGGGCTCAGGGCACTAACAAGAGCCTCGGCGCTTGCTCTCGTCACTCATCAGGTGACATGTATTAAGCGCCCCTCCAAACGCATCGCCATCCTGGGAAGGAGACAATGCCACACGCCAGCCCGGCCCTGCCCTTGGAGAGTCTCAACCAGGACTTCACTCCACTCGGCTTTTCCCGGACTCTAATTCCTACCGAGAACAAAAAACAAGCGTAACAACGACGACAATATTTACTGAGCGTGCTGTGTGGGCCCGACACTGTACAGTCATTGTTCCGTTGACCCTCTCAACCAGCCCGAGAGGCAGACGCTATCCTCATCCCTGCTTACTGATGGGGAGACAGGCGCAGAGAGGCAAGTAACTGGCCCAAGGTCACACAACTAGTAAACGGCAAAGCCAGGTCTGCCCAGCTTCAAAGCCTGTGAACACTACAGGCTGAGCGCTTGCCGCATCAGCCCATTTAACAGACAAGCTGAGCACGAGAGAGTCCAAGCGACTTGCACTGAGGCAGGGGGTGGACTCTGAAGACCAGCTCTTCTGACTCCCTCAAGGCTTTTGTGCCCTGTGATGCCTCCCCTGGGAAGGCCAGGGGCTTTCTTGGTGGGGCACATGGACCGACCTGTGGCCTCCTGTTCTGGGCCTCCGTTTACCTGGACAAGGAGGCATGGGACCGTGTGAGCTCCTGTCATCTCACCGCGAAAGGAGGAGCTGGGAAGACACATGGGACGTGCGTCCAAGGTGTCGTCGGGGAGCCCACGGGAGGAAGACCCAGTCCCAGCTCCAGCAAAAGATCCCCAAAGGCCCACAAGCTCTGGAGTGAGCGCTGTAATGTTCACAGAGCACAATCCGGGCAGCATAGCCAGTGGGCGCGTGGTTCAGTGTTCTTCCCGCCAGCACACGTGTGCGAGATGCGGGCACTTCCAGGGGCTGCTGGGACCCGGCTGGCTTTCAGGGACTCAATTTCCCAAACCTGCACTTCCACAGGGAGTCCTTTCCCAAACTGCCGGACTGGCAGCCGCCTGGCTCTACAGCTCTCTTTACATAATGGCCCCTCCTCACCATTTCCCCAAAGAAAGGCCCACCTCCAGCCATCCTAACTGTACCCTGGTGCTCTCCCCTGGGGTGTGAACGCCACCAGACAAAGGGACAACTGGAGAATGCAGCATTCCTGGGGAAGGCCCCGGAGGATGGGCATGGAGAAGGGGGCTGGCCTCGGGGCACCTGGGTGGCTCAGTCGTTAAACGTCTGCCTTCCGTTCAGGTCATGATCCCAGGGTCCTGGGATCGAGGTCCCGCATCGGGCTCCCTGCTCAGCTGGGAGTCCGCTTCTCCCTCTCCCTCTGCCTGCTGCTCCCCCTGCTTGTGCTCTTTTGCTCTCTCTCTCTAATAAATAAATAAAATCTTTTATTTTT